GAGGGAGAAACAGTAACAGGAAACTTGGAAATGGCAGAGATGCTCAATGACTTCTTTGTTTCGGTCTTCACCAAGAAGTCTGATGATGAAGGAATGTGTAACATAGTGAATGCTAGTGGGAAGGGGGGAGGTTTAGAAGATAAAATAAAAAACAGAACAAGTTAAAAATCACTTAGAAAAGTTTGATGCCTGCAAGTCACCAGGGCCTGATTAAATGCATCCTAGAATACTCAGAGTATTCTATGAGTAGATACTGATAGAGGAGGTATCTGAGCCTTTAACTATCATCTTTGAAAAATCATGGGAGACAGGAGAGATTCCAGAAGACTGGAAAAGGGCAAATCTAGTGCCCATCTATAAAAAGGGAAATAAGAACAACCCAGGAAACTACAGACCAGTCAGTTTAACTTCTGTGCCAGGAAAGATAATGGAGCAAGTAATTAAGGAATTCATTTGCAAACACCTGGAAGATAATAGGGTGATAGGTAACAGCCAGCATGGATTGGTAAAGAACAAATCATGACACGCCAATCTGATAGCTTTCTTTGATAGGATAACAAGCCTCGTGGATAAGGGAGAAACGGTGGACGTGGTATACCTAGACTTTAGTAAGGCGTTTGATATGGTCTTGCATGATCTTCTTATCAATAAATTAGACAAATACAACTTAGATGGGGCTACTATAAGGTGGGTGCATAACTAGCTGGATAGCCATTCTCAGAGAGTAGTTATTAATGGTTCACAATCCTGCTAGAAAGGCATAACAAGTGGGGCTCCGCAGGGGTCTGTTTTGGGACCGGCTCTGTTCAATATCTTCATCAACAATTTAGATATTGGCATAGAGAGTACACTTATTAAGTTTGCAGATGATACCAAGCTGGGAGGGGTTGCGACTGCTCTGGAGGATAGGGTCATAATTCAAAATGACCTGGACAAATTGGAGAAATGGTCTGAGGTAAATAGGATGAAGTTTAATAAGGACAAATGCAGTGGAGTAACTTAGGAAGGAACAATCAGTTTCACACATACAGAATGGGAAGCGACTGTCTAGGAAGGAGTGCAGCAGAAAGGGATCTAGGGGTCATAGTGAACCACAAACTAAATATGAGTCAACAATGTGATGCTGTTGCAAAAAAAGCAAACATGATTCTAGGAGTGTTGTGAGCAAGACACGAGAAATCATTCTTCCGCTCTACTCTGCGCTGATCAGGCCTCAATTGGAGCATGGTGTCCGGTTCTGGGCACCGCATTTCAAGAAAGAGGTGGAGAAAGTCCGGAGAAGAGCAACAAGAATGATGAAAGGTCTAGAGAACATGACCTATGAAGGAAGGCTGAAAGAATTGGACTTCTTTAGTTTGGAAAAGAGAAGACAGAGGGGACATGATAGAGTGTCACAAGGAGGAGGGAGAAAAATGGTTCTCCTTGGCCTCTGAGGATAGGACAAGAAGCAATGGGCTTAAACTGCAGCAAGGGAGGTTTAGGTTGGACATTAGGAAAAAGTTCCTGTCAGGGTGGTGAAACACTGGAATAAATTGCCCAGGGAGGTTGTGGAATCTCCATCTCTGGAGATATTTAAGAGCAGGTTGGACAGACACCTGTCAGGGATGGTCTAGACTGTGCTGGGTCCTGCCGGGAGGGCAGGGGACTGGACTCGATGACCTCTCGAGGTCCCTTCCAGGTCTAGTATTCTATGATTCTAAGATGTTTAGGCTTACATACTCCAGTCATTGTTCAGCAAAGGCAACTTGTGACTTCAATAGCGCACAAGCACTGCAGAATGAGTGTTTTAGTGGTTGAATTAGGGGGTTGCCACCCCTCTATAAGGCTGAAAAGTTGACACACACTGGTTTTAAAAGATAGCTGGGTGGAAAAGATGTGGAGTCCAATCCTCCTGGGTGGCAAAGAACAGCAAGTGCACGTGGGCACAGATGGCTCTTGCCTTTGTTGGGAAATATGCATCAAGTGCTAAATAGTAGGGGGACAGCACAACACTTTGGACCCCTCCACTACAGGACCAATGACCCGAAGTGACTCACCTATTCCCCCCACCCCCGCTCTGGCTGATGGGAAATTTTCAGCATACCCCGCCCCCGCCATTAATCTCATGCCAACAACTCATACTATAAAGTATTTTAACTTCTGTATTAAGTCACAAAGGCCTAGTCTCTATGTGGAACTCCTACACAAAAACTCAGAAGATAACTCCCAGGCCTGAGACACCCAGAGTCTGCTAAGTGGTCCAGCAGGGACAAGTTGAAATAATGGACAAACTTACCTACAATCCTCTGTCCGTCCTCTGCTCTTAGCCGAACTATTTGCATTTTCACATTTGTACCACTCACAGAGGCTAAAACTCCTTCTACTTTTGTCCAGACACTTAGAACTGAACCACACAAGACAAAGTAAGTTCGACAGCGGAGGCCCACTTCACAAACTAATCCAAGGCTTGCTTTCTTACAATTGCCTCTCCTGGAAGAGGGAGAGAGTTTCACACAAAAAAATTTATTTTAAAATATTCCCTCTTTTTACACAAATAAAGGTTTTAATTAAAGTAGTAAACACTAAGACTATGTCTACACTGCCCCCTCTTGCGCAAACAAATATGCAAGTGAGGCAAAGCGTGGAATATCACCACGCCTCATTTGCATAATTAATGAGGCTCCGTTTTTGCACAAGAGGCTTTTGCGCAAAAGCAGTTCTTCCTGAAAAAAAGGAGGAAGAACGGCTCTTGCGCAAAGAGGTCGTTTTTGCGCAAAAAACAGAGCCTCATTAATTATGCAAATGAGGCAAAGCGATATCCCACGCTTCGCCTCATTTGCATTTTTTTGTGCAAGAGGGGGCAGCGTAGACATAGCCCCCAGGATGAAAAAGAAAGTTAAGATGGTCAAGCTGGACAGTGAGATGGGGACATAGATAAAGCTACTCCACAAAATAACTTTTGAAGTCTTAAAAGACTATTAGTACATCTAAGGCTAGATACTCAGCAGGTGTCAACTGACATAGCTGCATTAAAGACAATAGAGCTACACTAAACTTACACCAACCAATAACGCCTGTTAGAAAGAGCAAGAGGATAAGCGCTCTAAACAAATTCAGATGTTCGGGTACTAATGCACTGACATTCTTCATTGGGGGTTAGCACTGAGAAGTCAAGGCACCAGATGTTAAACCCTCAAGAGCATACTGCTAGGAGAATCAGCATTAAAAAGAATGGTTACTTACCTTGTAACTGTTGTTCTTTGAGATGTGTTGCTCATGTCCATTCCATGTAGGTGTGTGCGCACAGCATGCACGCATCCTTGGAAATTTTTCCCTTAGCAGTACCTGTTGGGCCAGTAGGGGAGCCCCCGGGAGTGGCGCCGGTATACTGGCCAATATATACCCCTGCTGGCCCTCCACCCCCTCGGTTCCTTCTTACCGGACTACTCCAAGGAAGGGGAGGCAGGTGGGATTTGGACTGGACATGAGCAACACGTCTCGAACAACAGTTACAAGGTAAGTAACCGTTCTTTCTTCTTCTTCTTCGAGTGCTTGCTCATGTCCATTCCACGTAGGTGACTCCAAAGCAGAACCCCCAGAAGGAGGGATCGGAGTTCTAACCTTCCACCGAATGGAGGACAGCTCTACCCAGGGCAGCGACCTCCCTTGCCTGGTACACCAGAGCATAATGGTTGACAAAGGTGTGGACTGAAGACCACGTGGTGGCCCTGCAGATGTCCAGGATGGGCACCTGGGCCACAAAAGCCGCCGAGGAGGACTGGGCTCTAGTACAGTGGCCGTAAGGAGAGGGGGCTGAAATCCCGGCCAGCCCATAGCACTCCTTGATACAGGCTGTGATCCAAGAGGAGATGCTCTGTGTGGAGACTGGCTGACCCTTCAGCCGCTCCGTGATGGCGACAAAGAGCTGGGGCGATTTGCGAAATGGCTTTGTCCTTTCCAAATAAAAGGCTAAAGCCCTCCTAACATCTAGAGTGTGTAATGCCTGTTCTTTACTTGAGGCATGCGGCTTGGCGTAGAAGACAGGCAAGAAGATGTCCTGAGACACGTGGAAGTTTGACATCACCTTAGGCAGAAAGGGGGGGGGGGGGGGGGCGAAAC